GTAACACAGGGACTTGCATCAGGAGAGGACTGAGCACAACCTTGAAGGATTCAGGACCTGGCTATGCAGTGCCACAGCTGACCTGTGTTGGCAGTTCATCTCCAAGTATCTAAGTTGGACTTAGAGACCTCCATAGGTGCCTTCCAGCCAACACTTCGTTGATTGTATGGTCCTGTGAAAGGCTGGCCACCGTTATGTGGTCCTGTCCTTCCAGGTAGTGCCAAAAGTGATACAAAATGGAAGCACACCTGATGCTGTGTGCTATGCCAAAACCGTTGGGTTTTGGTCTGGAAGCTACTATCGTTGGTTTGACAAGAGAGAGAAATCCCTTTATCGCTGCCAAAAAAATCCCCTTGAGGCCATCCTGATGCTAGAAATACCAGAAGAAATGTCAGGACTGTTTTTCATGACACACAGGTCAGACGTGGGCAGATACATGGTTGTAGTGGGATTACAGGGCTAAAGAGCTTCAGGCTTCATATTTGGTATCTGTGTACAGGACTTAACTCTGTCTTCGAAGTGCTTCGTGACATGGTGTTGATGGGGAAGAAAAGATGGCACATTGCTGATAAAGATACTGAAGGACTTCAAAGGGCTATTAGATGTTGAGTTGAATATTTTTGAGGATGCGCTTCAGGGTCACTGATTCTCAAGGAGAGGACAGGCTGATGCGTTGATGATTGTGGAAGAACGTGGAGACTACTGTGGCATCACTGAGAAGTAGAAAAGCTCCCAGTTTTGCCCACAGTGGTCTGTAAATATGGGTGCCAAATCACATGTGAGATTTACCTCGGGTCTTTTGCTGAATATGGAGGGAGAGAGTGGTCCCTAGGTATGGCCGCGGTCCTGAGAAGGACATGCACAGCAGACTGTGCTCCAGGAGGTCTTTCTCCTAGCAGTTATCAGGGTTGGATACACTGATTCCTTACCAGCTATTTGTTCGAACTTATTAGTTTGGGCAAAGCGTCGATGAGTGGCATGCAATTGCTCCCCATGCCACACAAACTAGGCGCAGTAGGAGCACAAGGGAGTGAGGAGGCTGCGTGCAGCACATGTCCCCCTTCATTTCAGCATGGCTGTGTAAACCAGTTGGATGCTGTGGCATTACTTTCACCTTTCATATGTTTTTAGCTTGTTAAAATTATATCTTGGTAAGTACATGAAGTCACAGCAGATGGCAAAATCTGAAATGTTCTCTCCAACTCTTTATTTTAATTAGGCTTTCAGTTATCCCTTTATGAAAAGCACTCTGTGAGTGTCTGAAAGTATTGCAAGTATTTAAATAAGCTCCTGGTGTGACTTCTCAGAGCTAAAGTCGACATTAATATCTTCATGAAAGGCTTTCTTGTGTTTTCTCTTTTGTTTTTAATCTTTTGTGGAATGTTTTGATCTTGTTCAGATACCGGTTTGATATCTTTTCTTGATTTGGTGCTGGGCACATCAAAACATTGGTCATGCAAATGATTTGTATTCCTTACCATGGCAGTAGAGACGTGCATGGTTTAGAGATTGGTCAAAATGCAGTTGTGCACAATTGAGCTATGGCCAGCGCTGTATTTACATACTGTATTTACCATATTTATCATATTTACAGAATGCAGCAGCTCATAGTCTCCTGACCAGAGTTGAAATGACTGCATGCTTAAGTAGCAGTCTGAAAAGCAACTGTAGTCAGAGCTGGTAACAGTGCCTGTTAAAATGTTTGACACTTTCTTTTATAATTGTGTCCAAAACGCCGTTTTTTAGTTAAACTTGGGAAGAGTTTTGTGGGAATGGCAAAAAGCTAAAAATCATTAAGACCGTAGATACCACCCGAGCATAGACTCAAAAGCATCTGAACTGTGTTGGCTGAAATTCCACCCTTCTTTCTTTTTATCTTAGGTTTACTTGAGGCACCAAAAAGGGAAACTTTCAGTCCACGAGGTTAAATTTTATCCAAATTATAAACACCTGGCAGGATATTGGTTAATAAGAGACAGTGCTAACCATGCCACCCATAGTTTCTGTATAAACATAGAAATACATGGGCTACAGTGGGGTAGAATTAGCTGGTCTTTGATGATGCAGTTTACGTACAACCTGCATATGGTACCAGAATGCGTTTTAGAAGAGGATTTAATGATCCGTTACATTAATAACAAAGAAGTATGAGAATAATCTCATAGAACGATGCTCATTGCATCTGCTGTGGCTCCAGTAACATTTTAGATGATGCGATGATATTCACTGCTTTATTGCAACACCAAAGAATTCTTATTTTCCTGATTTGAAAGCAGTAAGTAGCTGACACTGAACATGAGTGATAGCTGTTCTCAACGCAAAGATCCTATTTCTAGGTACAGATTTGTATTAATACTTTGATAAAGCTGTGGAAGACATGGATCATACTGTGCTAGGTGCTGCGCACACAATTCAGAAAGATATCAAAGCCTTAAATAATAAAAAATAATACGTGTAAGACAAGAGATGGCAAATGGACCTAATCCAGAAATTAAGTAGTAGAGTAAGTTTACATTTACTTTCAAAAATATTTCAGCAGTGAGATTCTGAGGACAGCATTTCCTGTGCTGATTTCATCTTCTGTTGCCCTTCGCTTTATCTTTTCCTATGTTTCTCTAAGTATGCTTCCAACAAAAGCTCGGATTAGGAAGAAAATACAAAACATGTTTTGTACCAACAAAAATACTCCTGCAGGATATTTAAGATAATTAGTCAATGAGATTTTAAAAACGTTACCCAGTTTTATTTAATTATTCCTTGTCACAACTAAAAAGGAACATTTTCTAAGAAAATTTATTAGCGGGGTTAAATCGAGTACCATTCAGATCATCCTTATTTGGGAAACATTAATTGCCAGATTAGTATGGAGACGGGGAAGGTGTCTTGCTGTTTAGTCTATCAAGGGGTATTTAAAGAGGAAATACATTGCTAGTCTGTAAATGGCAACTAGGAAGAAAGGCGAGGAAAAGCATCGAAAGATAAAAATAGCTATTTTTGTGAAAACCAAATGGGTATAAATTGGCTGTGAATAAATCAAGGTGGGAATTAGAGGCTCTTCCCAATCTTTAGTTAAGGTAGGCTCTGAAAGAGAAGTCGAACCACACAGAAAAATGACTTATTAAAACAGGAGTAGGAAGCAGCTTTTGTATCTATCTCATGTGTCCATAGTTTTGTTATAATAGGAGCAGCACTGAACACAAAAGCATATCTGTGCAATATTGTGACAGCTTTCTAGAACGAAATCATTTGTCCACACTGCAGACTAATCTTACTCATTTTAGTCTGTAAAAATAACTTTGATACTCCGAGGACAGAGAACTAAATGTTTTCTTTTTTCCCCTTTTTTCCCCTTTTTTCCCCCTCCATATACCTGATTGTTTTCTCAGTATTATTTGTTGCATGCGATTATGAATGACAGTTTTCGGTTTAAGTTCCAAATTGACGGTAAAACATGGGAGGCAAAAGGTGCAGCCTGATGCATCATTTTGAGCAAAAGAATGGAAAAAATGATAACATACTAACTTGGTTCTTAATAATTGTAACACTGTAATATGGTATCTGCTCATCAAATACCATTTATTCTAAAAAAGGCTTCAAGTGCAGTCTATCAAACAGTTATTAAAATTATTAGACTTGTTACTTTAATAAACTTCTATTTTGTGACAAATCCAATAGGCATAAATACTTTAAAGGGTATTATTGCTGTAGAGTGGAATAAATCTACAGCTCTATTTCTTTCTTGTGGCTCTGTTAGTAATTGATATGGACCGGTGTGAAAAATAAGGTGAGCTATTAATAACTCAGTAAATGTCTCTGTTGCCAAACAAGGATTTGAAATTACATACTGCTGTGCATTGAGAGGTAATATTTAATTGCAAAGTAATAAAGATGCAGTATGTTTAAATGTATATATGTTCATTTATTATCAAACTTTTCCTGAAGGGGTAATAAACAAATGAGAATTTTTTATGTAGGTTGGAAGGAAGTTGGTTTTAAGGTGCTCGTGCCTTTAAGAAACGCCAGAGCTATTTGTTTCTCATGGGTCGGATTAGAAGAAGAATGGAGTGTGTTTCGTGGGATGGATGTAATTTTTAGTGACGCTCTACGTTGGCAGTGGGGTGTGGGGGGTGAGATATGGGTAGCCCTGAGACGTAGCATGCAGAAATGCTCCGCTTTTATGATGGTTCTCAGGGTCATCGACTCCGTGATACTCACACCTCAGACTATATTATGAGCATGGCATCAAAATTGGTTTGAAACCTCTTTCCGCCTCCCCAGCCCCCAGCTGGTACCTCGGCACCCTTTGCAGCAGCCCGCCTCCTTCTCCACCCACAGCCGCTGGCCTGGGAGGACCAGGGGGGCCAGGGGGTGGCTGGGGAGCCCCTTCCTCTCCAGCGGCTGAAAAGGGCCACGGGGACGCTCACAAAACCGCCCTGTTCCCGGGAGCCGGTGGGAAGCGGCTCCCCGTCGTGCCGAGGCGCCGTTTCTGTGGCGTATGTGCGTGCTCCTCGCGGTCCCTGCCTGCTTAGGGCTGCACCCCTGACCGTACAGGGCGGGCGTGAGGGTCTGCGCCCCAAATGCTTTATGGTAGAGGTCCCTTCATTTGTTTGCAGGGGTCCCTGCTCAGCAGAGAGGGAGGCGAGCCATGCGGCACGGCTGCAGCAGCAGCCTGGGCCCCCGCCAGAGGGGGGGGGGGGGGGACCCAGGCGCCCCGGCCGCAGCAGCAGCCGCTGGTTGCTGCATGCAGGGCAGCGTGCCAGCACAGGGGCTCGCTGCGAAGAAATAGCCCGGCAGATGTCTTTTTTTCTTCTTTTTTTTTAAAAACTGCATATCATTTTTAATCATCTCTAATAACGTATTTGCCTGCCCCAGTTTGGGAACTCTGCTTTCTGGTACCTGTAAGTGAATGCCTCTTGGCCTAAGGCGTTGAAAAGTTAAGCTGTGGTTTCCAGCTGCGTGTTCACGTGCTTAATGAAGGTTTTCTTTTTTGTTTGGTGCAGGGCCGTATCTGCAGAAAAGCTGGCAAATCAAAAAAGTCATTCAGTCGAAAGGAAGCTGAAGCAACATTTAAGAGTTTGGTGAAGACCCATGAAAAATATGGGTGGGTGACCCCGCCCGTCTCTGATGGCTGATGTTAGCAACCTGCACTTGACAAAAATGCTGAACAAAAGTACTGTGACATCTCCTCAGTGCTGTACACCACCCATCCTTTTCTACTTCAGCTTCAGTTACATACCATGAATGTCAAGGAGACATCTAAGTTATTTATGAACAGATGTGTTTACAGAGGGAGAGAAAAAAAAAATGCTGTGTAGGATTATATTTCAAGACTGGAGAATGGTCATCATTGAAGTCACTTGAGCGGATGCTGAGATTGCGTCATTTGCCCCCATACAGCCCACATTGTCTTCAGCTTCTTTCCATGACAGCAGCACCAAACAGCAGTACTGGAAAGTCTATCCATTACTGCTCAGTTCATTTAAATGTAAATGAAACAGTTAATATTTAATAGGGAAGCAGTGCATTGCAGGTACATGTTTGCTGTGCTGTTTATCTTTGTCTCCTAGCAGGTCAACATAACTTGAAGATTTGTCTTTATGTGGAACTGTGGTCTGCTGTGACTAAATTTAGACCTCATTTGTGCTCTATATATGACCTTTAATTCATAAATGAAACCAGAATTAAAATGCTGAAAGGTCCTAGTGTTGAAAAATTATTAAGTGGAATCACCCAACCGGTTACAATGTGCTATCTATGCTGATATTGTGATGTGCTGTTCAGAAATAAACCAGTGCAGTTAGCTGAAGGTTAGGTGGGTTTTTTAAACACATCCACACCAGGGCTCGGCGTGGTCGGTGGTAGCAGAACCATTCTCCCCCTGCCGGTACCTTCTGCAGTAGCATGTGGCCTGTCAGTTCCTCAAAATGGCAAAACAAACGAATGGAAATGGACAAAGCGACCTTAAAAATTTATCTGCTTAATTTTAAAATGACATGACAGTAACAGAGTAAAAATTTTCAAGGCAAATGGAACATGGTTTGTAAGATGATTTGCATGACTGGAATTTTCTTTTTTATTTTCACTCAATAGACATTGTATGTACTTAGAGCCCAGTATCTGAGAAAACCTACTGTTGTATATAAATGTCCTATTATTTAATCATTAAGATTTAAGTTTTCTGGTAAACAAACTGAAAAAAACTTTCTAAGGGACTCCATAAAAGCTGAAGGTAATGTTTAGAATGGTATAAGAAAAAGCATTAAAAATGTGGATTCTGAATGGAAAATCGTATTGGACACATGCTGAATAAAATCACCAGTATCATTTCTGTTGCCTCAGGAATTCAATCATTTTGGCCAACTTTTGTATTAAAAGTAATAGGTTTTCTACTGTGAAATTCTAGGCGCTTTATAGATATATCTGTTGTGGCAATGTTTTAATTGGAAGCAAGACAGTATCGATTGTAAGACTAATTTGGAGGGGGGAGGGAGGTAAGCATTTGAAAACACTTTCCTTTCTATGGCTAACACAAGACCAAATCGAAATGGTTGACCAGTTTCTCTTTGTGTTACAGCAAGAGTGGACACTGTACAGAGAGTTTTGGGGTTTGGAGTTTGATTTAAAACTACACACAGTGGAGAAGAACAAAAGAGTAATGAAGGACAAAGGAGTTCGAACGCAAGCGAAGAAGCAGCACAGCAGATACTTGTGCAAAAACGCTGCTCAGTTTATAGCTGCTTTGCCAGTGTAGCTCTTTGCCAGCTAGATAGGGAGAAAAATAATTAAACCCGTCATCAAAATGGTTACGCGGGTCAGAGCCACTCAGTTTTGTGGGCATGGCTGGTTTCTTACACGTCTTATCTCCACTAGCTGCCTCTTCTCTTTCTCCTCTGACCATTTGTGGTACCCACCTGGTGTGCCTTATCTCACTTATAAATGGAAATGCTTCGTACCACAAATCTGCACAGATCTTGCTGTGATTTATCTCACCCTGCTTTATACTTGGAGATGATGCTATAATTAATGTGTATATACTTTTCTCCTCAAACTGTGTATCAATTCTGTGCATCCAGCAGCAGAATGTGTCTTTTGAGTGAGGAATAACATTTTGAGTAATTTATTTACTCAGGTTTATAAATATTTTCTTGCTATCCTTTATCAAAGAGGAAACTCGTATGTTTAGTTAGGCATCAAATAATTTGCAATCCCTAGTGGGACTCCCTGAGAACATAGAGAGGGATCTAGCACTGGAAAGCATAAGGTTTGTTATTTCCCTTTGGAAAAGCTCTTCCCTCATCAGCACAGTAAAATTATGTTAAAAGCAGTGTGAAGGTGTGGTAAGTCTTTGGGGGGGATTATTTCTTTCTCTGCTGTTTTTTAACCTGCCTCTTTTTTCTGTCAGTGGGTTATTTTAAATCTTCCTGAGAACCATATCTTTAATATTTAATTAAAGGGTTAGCTAAAAGGAACGTAGTGGGTGGATTGCTACCACTTCCCTCAAACCTACTTATTATGTGTCTTCTTAAGTGTTCTTTAAATAGTTATAGCAAACATCATCGCTAAAAATCACAGTTACTTGCTGGCTGTAGGAGGTTCTCTGTATCACTCAGAGTCTTGGAGCAGTAGGAGAGGCAAATCAAAAATTCTGGAGTGCTTTGAAGCCGTAGCAGAAGGGGAGCAGAGCGCCTGTGATAAGCTGCAGCAACAAATTGTGCAAGGAAGAAAGAAGGAAAAGTACGCTGCATGAACTAGGGCAGGATGAAGTTCCTGCCGCACCAAAAATAAGACTGCTCCTATTGAAGAGGCGATGGCTTACAGCAGGAGCAGCTTGTGCTGGGGGAGACGCAGGAAAAAGGGGACAGCAGGGAGCCCAGAAGCATTATGCTTCTGACCAGGGAGGAAGGGAGCTGGCTAGGAATGTCGTTAATTAAGAGATTTAGAAAGAGAGTTGGTCTATTTTAGGGAAAATTAGTTCATGGTTTTTGGCTAGCTGTGTGCTAGACAAGTTCTACTTTCTCTGCAACAGACAAGCCTAAAAAAAGCAAATGAGAAAATCGGGCAAGGAAAGGTGTGTGAGAGGAAGGAAGAGAGAAGTATAGGTTGGGGAAGATGTAACTGGGCAGCTAAAACACAGGATAAAAAAAGCCTCATCGTGGAAGGGGATATAATGAGGGATCGAAGGAGAACAGCGCTGCACAGTACCAGAAAGAAGCAACAAGGAGGGCTGAAGGACAGCAGTTTAGATAGGGCCTACTGCAGGAGCTGATTGCAGAGCTGCTCCAGGTGCCTTTCCATTGAGGGAGCTTCAGTGAAAAAGGTCCTACAATGTCCTTTTTGTTTGTACCCTAGAAAGTGATACGTGCTTCCTCCTTGCTCTGTCCTCCTTCTGGCAGCTGAGGAGGATGTCAAGAATTGGAGCTGTGGTGTGAAACTCAAATCAGGCCGTCACCTCGCTTCTGTGACTGAGAAATAAAGCCGAGTTTCATTCCCAGATCCTAAACTCAAGGAGGCCAAAATGAAAATAGATTGGCCAGTCGTCTGCTTTGTCAAAGTTCCTTAATATCAAAGAAGTAGGGGGATTTTTTTATTTTTTTTTTTTACAGAGAGTAAACATCAATATTCCGCCTTTATCCAATCAAAAAACTCCTTAGGACGTCTTGTAAAATTAGCAGTCGGTGCAGGTCCTCCAGCTCTCATTAGACCCATTTAATCAGGAATATTATTTTCCATCTGCTGTCCCCAGAACAGATGATTAATTTGAAACTAGCGTTTGGGGAGGTGTGAAGTTGTATTAGGAAGTTACTTCCTGGCTTTTTTAGAATATGTCCTTTTGGAGGACCTTCTTTGAGTCTGAAAAAGCTGCTTGGCTGAATACAGGCATTGAATGAAGAAAGCTTATGATAAAGGAAGAAAGCTGTCTCTGAATACCTAAACACTGAAGGATCTCCACAAAGAGCAGAACTGATGATTTACATGGGAACATATTTCTGTATCATTAGAAATTGGTCCTAAAAGTTCAACAATCAAAAACTCTGCAAAGACCTCTTGAACTTGCCCTGTTTTCCCTCCCAAAGGCAGTGTGTCTCCTTCATTCCAGCCCAAACTTCAGTCCCGAGTCCAAAGAAAGATAATAGGTATGGTCTGTTTATTCAGTGCTATGACACTGTATTATATAAAAAAAGGCTCACTTCATTCTTGTCCAAGGCAGTACATAAGATCCTAAAATGGAGCTTCTTGCATAAATAGCAGGGTTGGGACAAAGCCTTTCTAGTATAACAAAACAATGTGATATGACTGATATATATATATATATATATGCGCTTTTAGAAAACTCATTTAGAAAGACATATTCAGAGTCACAGCTGCCAAGCAGCGATCGCTGTCACGGCCAGTGCTCTGACATGTATGTACTTTCCATTCCACAGGAACTTGCAATAGAAAGAAATCTATTCTTGAGAGGCTGGCTATACAGAGAAAATACTGTAGAACTAACTGGCATTTGGGATTAAATCTCTGGGTTTTCTTCACCACAGTTTACTCCTTTTTTTCCAAGATTTTCACACAGACATGAAGCCATAGCGTCTTAGTTTTACACTAGCATGACAGCCAGCGTGATTATTTACATGACTCCCTCGAGGTGGCCAGTTATGAACACACTTCTCGTTGATGAGGTCTTTAGAAGATCACTGTCTTCCAGCTGAATGCCTGGGTGTGGAGCTTGGCTGATGTACTGAGGATTTACTTTTTAGCGTTACATGGGCAGATGCAATGCATGCTTAGGCATCTGAAGGCTTCACTGAAATTACGTGGGGAAGCATTTGCATAGAGTCAGCGTGAAAGGTTTGTGTCTTCCATGCAGTAGGGAAATTCTGCTGAAGAAGGTTCCTCTCAAACTGTACTATGAACTAAACAAACAGAATTAAGCAGGCCAACTTGCTGGTACAGTATAATTTTCCAGTTATGTATCCCCTCCCTGACAAGCACCAACCTATATTAAATAGTCTGCTACAGAGATCACATTTCAGAAGACAGTCAGTAGAGATGCTGAAGAAAAGCTCCTGGGCACATATCTCCTCCAGCCTTCCCGGTGTATTCCTGGGGGGAAGATGCAGCCCTGATCTAAGCAAACGAGAGAGACCAAGAGGGCTGTGCACGTGCACTAAGAGCATGCACTGCCCTGCAAAGTGCCCACTGTGGGAAGCTGGGGGCAATGAGCCTCTGAGCTTACCTAGGCAATGCACATCCTGTCTTGCGTTCATATACCAATCTTGCAAATACTTTACAAACACGTATATTACTTGGATTGAGTCAAAGGGTTCAGTACATCTCTGACCTGAGTTCAGATGTGCAGAAAAGATGGGTTACACTAAATATGCACTGGAGGTTTTCGTGTAAGTTAGTGACACATTTAAAGTTTTGCTTCACTCACTCTGAAGAATAAAGTGGCTGTCAAACTAGGTCTGAGGACAGATAGGTTGAAAGTGAGTCACCTGCTATTATCGGCACAGCTGCACTGGAGAGGTGGTTTCGTTTGTACATCAAAGGGTAGAGGTGAGGTACTGCAGCAAGAGCAGCCAGTGGGACATGGCAAGAAGTTATAAAGAAAGAGTTTGCCTCTCTGTTCCCCCTTCCCTATATTATTGGCTACTTAATTGCATCCTCTTAAATGTACGTTTCTCTGCTTTGTAAATTTTACTACCCTTTATATCACTTCAAAGTTTTACTGATATGCTAAGAAAACCTTAAAACAAGTCATATAAATTTACACTTAAAGCCTGCATTTCAATCTAGAAGCATGCAAATGCCATGCTGACACCTGTCAAATTTCACCAACAGCTTCCTCACACTAGTAAGTCTTGGACAAATCAGTGATGACGGTAGTTAACACAAAAATAGAAACTGTGCAATTTGGATGTTTGATTTAGTCTTTCCCTGATTGCTTTGTCTTTCAGTTTGATTGACTTCATGTGAGAACATCAAACTAGCAGCAGTGAAACTGTCATAGTGTTGTTTATTTATAACAGTTCCTTTTGTTCATGCTGCTAAATAAGATGGCAATAAATATTCATTGCAGTTGTGTTTCGTCAAATGGGAATTCAGAGATAACTCCTCACACTCTGAAAACTTTGCATTTTATACTTAGTGTTTGCCACCACACTTAGCATTCATTATCTTTTGCTGTCAAATATTCTTGTGTTTTCTTATTCAGTGACCTCATGTGTTTTAAATTATTTGTGGTTTACTAACAGAAATATTTGAAGTATGTTGCAGGTCCTCTTGGCAAAATCAGTGAAATGTAACTGAACCAAATCTAATTGTCTGTGCGAT